TACGATTTTCAGTACTTTCTAACTTCCACCCGGATATTTCCACTCTTTTTGATAAGAAAACTTGTTATAACGGGCCTGTTTTTGATGATCTTGCATCAGCTTTATCAGATGTCAAGCACCGTTGTCGATAAAAAAACTGACCAATCAGAAATCTTTGCGTATCTCTCCCAGAACCCAGCCTTCCTTCCCACTCTAAGGGATTCCCAGAACTCGTTTGGAGTGTCATAGGAAAATAGGAATGTTGAAGGGCAAGTCATAAAATGATATGGGGAAGTTCAGATACTGTTCACAAAACAAAACATGAAGAACTGAAAAAGGTTTAATTCTATGTTCTATGCTACTTGACAACACGACTGACTTATCTACTTGTCAGCTGCCATTTTTTGAGGAGTGCGGTATCGTTGCCAGAGTGTGCTCATGCCGCGCAACGTCGCCAGCTCTACATATAAATATGAGATTGCTATACTTTTTTATATATGTATACAGGGTTATCCAAATTAAGTGTCCACCATTAGTAACTTTGTTATTAGTGAAAATACAAAGTTGTTTGAATGAGCAAACTAGTAGCATTTTTAACGCTGGTAAAAATGAGAAATAAAAAAAAACAATTGAGAGTCGTTATTTTGATTTTTTTCAGTAAAATAACATTTTTTAAATGGAAACCCCTGTATATTATATTTTTTTCTGTTAAAGCATCAAATTTTAAACAAAAAAGCTTACAATAACTTTTCTCCTAGGTTACATATTGTTGAAGTTATGGCCTCCAATCTGAAACAATTAAATTGTATCGACAAACTTTATTTTCAACATCAACTTATAATCTTACAAAATACAATAACAATTTTTTTTAAAGAAGATGCTCGAAAACACCACCTTGTTCTTCAATACATTTTTGGGCACGTTTTTCAACTGCTCGAACTGTCTTAAGTATGGTCCTACCATCTATCTGGGTTATCTTTTCCCTAACTGCAGTCTTTAACGCGTCAAGGTTATCGTACCTTCGCTTGTAAATTTGGTTCTTTAAGTAACTACACAAGAAGTAATCAAGTGGGTTTAGATCTGGTGATCTGGGAGGCCACTGTATTGGGCCATTTGTTCCTATCCACTGATCATTAAAAGTAGTACTTAGAAAATGATAAGTACCTCTGGAGTTGTGGGCAGGTGCGCCATCTTGCTGAAAATGCAGATGATGTCTACTTATAAGATCCAATTCGTCTAAGAAATTAGTCAGAATTTCTGACATAAATTCCACATATCTTTCACCAGTTAGGGTTCCCTCATAAAAGAACGGGCCAACAATTTTTGAACCAATTATACCGCACCAAACGTTGAAACTGAAACGGACTTGTGGGCCTCTTGGATGTACTAACAAAAGATTTTCTCTTGACCAATAATGGTGGTTTTTTCTATTAAACATTCCAGAATTTGAAAAATTTGATTCATCTGTCCATAAAAGGTAACGAAAGTTATTTACATTTTGGCGACAGAAGCTAAGATACCAATGGCAAAAAACAAGTCTTCTCTCTGGATCCCCTGCCAAAAGCGTTTGAACTGGTCGGTACTTATACGGAATAAATTTGTATTTTTTTAAAATCCTTTGAACAGTACCATAACTGAAATTAGAGTCCTTGAGAATATCTGCTATTGAATTCTCACGATAAGCTTCAAAATATCCAATAACTGCAATTTCCGTGGCCTCGCTTATTATGAATTCTTTTTTTGCCCTTGTTTTAGCAAAAACATTTTCGTTGCCCCTAAATTTTCGATAAAGTCTCAGAAAATATCGTTCATACGGTTGAATGCGAGCGGGATATAATTCACTGTAGTATTCTCTTGCTCTCAAGGAGGATTTTCTGCACACTAAATAGCATTCTAACATATCACACTTTTCTTCATGGGAGAACATTTTTCTTTAAATTAATGACACAATAAAGCTTATAAACAAGTATTTACACTAATGTTTGACATTATTTGATTTTATCATTGTTTTCCAAAGCCTTCTAGTTGCGAGTATGTCCAGTTTAACAATTTGTCGCTTATCTTAATGCTGTCAAATCGCGAACGCCATGTTGTTTTCATAGCCGTCTTAATATTATAATACTGCAAATAATTAAAAATATTTATCGTTATTTTGACTTTATTTTTGACTTTAGCGGAAAAGTCATTATGAACTTTTTTGTTTAAAATTTGATGCTTTAACAGAAAAAAATATAATATACAGGGGTTTCCATTTAAAAAAATGTTATTTTACTGAAAAAAATCAAAATAACGACTCTCAATTGTTTTTTTTTATTTCTCATTTTTACCAGCGTTAAAAATGCTACTAGTTTGCTAATTCAAACAACTTTGTATTTTCACTAATAACAATAGGTTACTAATGGTGGACACTTAATTTGGATAACCCTGTATATACTACTACTACTATATACTATACTACTTCGAAGTTGAGTCATTTATTTTAACAGTGAGTAGATCTGATCAAAAGAAATGTTTTTTTCCTTTACCATTTTTCTGGTAAAATTAAAGTAACAAAGTTATAGCCCTTTGGAAGTTTGAGTACCGCCCTGTCTCAATAATGATATCATGTGCTCGTGTTTGGCAACAACGGATATAATCCGCCTTACCGGTTCATCGCATCGGAAACAAAAAAGCGAAAGAATTTGGAACGATGTTTTTACAATAAATTATTTTATTCAGTTCAGTTATACATACAGTCAGTGTCAGTCGGTTAGCGTGTGAATAGTGTCTGTTGCGTGGCTCAAACGAAATAAAAAATGGCACATGTTTACGAAAATGCTGAACTTGTGGACATGATTCTTATTTACGCGGCATCACGGAATTATGCGGATCGGTTTCCCAATCGAGTGCAATTAACCCCTCGTGCCTTTGTTAATGTAGTCCAACGGGCTCGTGAATCAGGTGACTTAAGACCTCACAGGGGACCTCACGATCAAATACTACTTTATAAAACAAGGTAACATTTTTTTTTATTTTTTTTTATTTTTACACACATATTTTGGTTTATCTCCCTTCTACAATCATTATCTGAAAATTAATGACTCAACTTCAAAGTCACCCTGTATATATATATATATATATATATATACAGGGTGTCCGCAAAGTTGGGGTTGTCCTTTTCAGAAACAACTACCCTTGAAATAACAAAGGTAATGTGTAGTGAAACAAGGGCGACCAAGTAAAAAAAAATTCGCCATAAATTAACAACATATCAACGAGTTCATTATTGGTGTATGAGTGTGCCATTATTATTTTTTTTTGAAACGCAATCGATTATACGGGTTCGTTTACCTCTACACGCGTGACCGTAACCGTCGGTTGAAGGTTGCATACTGACCTGACACACTGACCCCGACCCAGTTCTGTCGTCGGGTTGAGCCAGTGACCTTGTACCACTCGGTGATGTCGCGGGTCGCGGCTACAGGACGGTATTCAGATATTTTTGATGTTGCAGAGCCCTTTATCTCGGTTCCCTTAAGACATTGGTGTATATGGTACTAAGAAAAATTGCTTATGTTTTCAAGATCTACACGTCGTGAAAAGGAAAACCCCAACTTTGCTGACACCACAGGGTGACTTCGAAGTTGAGTCATTTATTTTAACAGTGAGTAGATCTGATCAAAAGAAATGCTTTTTTCCTTTACCATTTTTCTGGTAAAATTAAATTAACAAAGTTATAGCCCTTTGGAAGTTTGAGTACCGCCCTGACTCAATAATAATATTATGTGCTCGTGTTTGGCGACAACGGATATAATCCGCCTTATCGGTTCATCGCATCGGAAACAAAAAAGCGAAAGAATTTGGAACGATGTTTTTACAATTATTTCATTCAGTTGTATATAGTCAGTGTCAGTTGGTAGTGAATAGTGGTGTCTGTTGCGTGGCTCAAACGAAATAAAAAATGGCACATGTTTATGCGGATCGGTTTCCCAATCGAGTGCAACCAACTCCTCGTGCCTTTGTTAATGTAGTACAACGGGTTCGTGAATCATTTGACTTAAGACCAACATATGGACGGCATGCCGGTGCTCCAAGACCTCACGATCAAATACAGGTCCGCACTGAAATACTTGTCGGGAGGATACTTTATAAAACAAGGTAAAATTTTTTTTTATTTTTACACACATATTTTACATTATTTTTCTACAATCATTATCTGAAAATTAATGACTCAACTTCAAAGTATATATGAGCAGTAGTCATTGCCAAAGCCAACGACCAGTTGGGTACAAAATACAATTACTTGTTAATTGGGAAATTGGCAAAACTTTTAGGCTTAAGTTGACTCTTTTGACGATAAAAATCGAGCGTGATCCATAACGTTCTTCAATTTGTTGGAAGTATCCCAAATCTGTGGAAAAAATATAAGAAATAATTATATTCGCTGTACACTGTTAACAGTAATTACACACAACGCGGGCACGGTGGCAATTTCTCGTAATACTCCTCAAAGTTTTTGGAAATACAAAAAAAAACGTAAAGAATCGTAATTGATAACTTTGAACATAACATGCCTTGCGAAAGGACAACATATATGTAGATAACCCATCGGGCACAGCTAACGGATATCTTTCATTAGCAGAATATTGAGTAATGATTTTTTCACCCAGCAAATATCACTGATTTTATACACATGCAGACCGATACACACAATCATACAGATGCAATCTTGCTATTTAACCAAATAACCAACTTTCTTCTCAGAGTCTCAGAGATGAAAACTATGGACCACTCGGCTTCACAAAACATATGCAACCAACCATGCGTGTACGTGTAGTTGTGCTATTCATCCATAGATGAACTCTCACAACGATCCTAGTGAGCAAGCGTGGAATGACTGCTTGCACCCTTACAACTACCTAGTTTGCAAGTTGACATCTTATAGGTTTGTTTTGACGTTTTATAGGTTTTTCACATAATACCCATGCAAGTAGGAGGTGCAACCACCTGACAAACGTCAACGGCGTTGTCGTCGTTTAACGTGTAGCTCTTACTTCTTCTATCTTATCTGTTTTGTGGTTTGACGTTTGACATTTGATAAATGTTGATGGCCGCCCATTAAATTTTTCCCTCTTTCAACCAGCTTTCAACTCAAGGCGCAAGGAAAGCATTCCCAATAATAACTAAATATTCAAGCTGATGAACCAGCGATCTTTTTGGAAAATATTATAGAAACAAGGCGCTCCAAATAATGGCAGACAGCATAGAAGAGTTATACGAAACGTATAACATTCTGACGGAAGCAAAAGAAAATGTATCCAAGGTTAGTTTGGTTTATCAAATGAACATTTGAGTTTTACTATAAATATTTTCAAATTTCAGCACTCCCAAGAGTATTTGAAGTGTATGGAGCGTACCAAAGGTAATGACAAAGAGAAGAAGCTCGCAGCACAAATAGTCTCGAAGTTTTTCAAACATTTTCCTGATCTTCAAGAAAAAGCTTTAAATGCCATATTCGATCTTTGTGAAGATGATGACAGTATGGTAAGCTAAACACCATTTATAATTCATACGTTTACTAGTTCAACTAGAGCAAGCTATAGATCTTTCAGGTAAAGATCAGTTATAGTTTTGTCCAACCCGTCGAAAATCATAGCGGTGTTATGTAAAACTGACAAGATGTCAATGAAATATATCTATTAGCTGTTCCCAACAGGTTACTTATATGTTGTCCTTTATGAAGATAGTTTATATAAAAAAACCTTTTTAAGACATACCATATTTCACGAGTATCCTTCACAGCAGAATGACAGCTGATTATCTAGTAACGTCATAAAATTCTCTAGATTGGCACAGGACACAATTTTGACGGATCCGTCAACGCTGGGTAGACAGAGCCAAATTGTGCTTTGTTTTTTTGTATGCTACAGATCCCTTTTTTTACTTGCCTACAAACAGCTCTTTTATTTAGAAAGGTTCATTTCCTTACAAAAAACACCATGCCACAAACAAGTTTTACTAGATTTATACCCGATCCATTATTGCCATTAATGCAGACTAACACAAAAATGTCACTTGCTGATCAACTGGTCACCTCGGCATACATTAAAGCATGATGGATACTTGTGAAATAGGGTTTACATAATACCCATGCTGTTCTATAATGGTGACGCGCATGCACATTTAAGAAAAACATATTCTGTATCATAATAGGACAGTTCTGCATTTCATTCCAACCAATGTTGGGATCATTTGGGAACGGTTTTGTTACAGTGAACTCAGTACCTGTATTGAAGGGGGATCAAAGGAACTGACTTGCGCAGTACAACTGCCTCTTACCTCCAACTAAAATGTAACCATGCTCTGATAGCCTATGTATTTTCTATTTAAAGTTAATTTCTTGATATTCTCATGCTTTCATGAGTAGTGACAAATTGGTTATCTGTCACTTCCTAGTTATAAAAACAATTCTAAAATCCTTTCAACCAACTTCCATCCCAGAAACAATTCTGGAGTCATGACCAGTCTGAGCATGGGTGGAAAAGCAGACAGGGTCTGGAACAGATTCATGTTTTTCATATTTCTTAATATTTTTTTTAAGTTTCATAAAACATATGTTTAGAAAAATCTTTTTTTTAATTTTTTCCCCAATGAAGATTAACTGCGGGAATTTTACGTTGCTCCGGCCGATTTTTTGGCTGTGTTAGCAACATTTTTTTCAGGAAGTGGTCATCATTATAAACCTTGTTTATATAGGGTTTATAATGATGACTACACAGTTTAAAATTACATATTTTAGTGTTGTATTTTCACTCCCATGTAACAGAAAAATCAAGTTTAGTAACCAAAAATCGGAAAATTTTTAATTTAAGAATTATTTTTGGTTGCTATCACATAGGTACTTGGTTTAGCTATTACATGGGAAAATATGACTGTTTTTGGTAGAATGGTGACAAAATGTCTAAATTTCAAGAAGAATGGTTGACAAAGAAAGACTATTTGATTTCACATTGGGCCATAAAGCACAGTGAAAATGAACTTTTTTGCAATGTTTGTCTTAAAGTGGTTCACATTTTCACATATAGATGGCCAAAAACAAAAAAAATAGTAACATATAAGTGTCTCAAGATTCGGAGAAAGTAGGTAGTTCTTTGCTTACTCTAACAAACCTTAAAGATGCAGCAGTTAAAGCCGAGCTAATGTGGGCCCTTAAAGTAGCATCAAACTTTTCGGCAGATTCAGTATCTGGGATAGCTAGTTTGTTTAAGAAAACGTTTCCAGCTGAAGGTGCTGTACCAGATCAATTGTCCTTAAGTCCGAAAAAAATAAGTTATCTTATTACAGATGCGCTAGGTCCCCATTTCAGAAATGAAATGCTTGAAGAAGTCAGAAATTCTCATTATTCACTTCAATATGATGAGACGACCAATAATGCTGGAAAGAAAGAGTTGCAAATAAGAATAAAGTTTTGGTCAAAAAAAGCAGGCCAAATAGTATCATTTCATTTAGAAAGCTTTTATATGGGCCATGCAATGGCAGAAGATCCTAAAAGTGCAATTTTAAAAGCAATAGATAATGCCAACTTGCCATTAGCAAAACTTATCTCCATCACTAGCGACGGTCCAAACGTTAATAAAAAGACATTACGCCTTCTCAATGAGTATATTTTGAGTATTCGAGGTAAGGCGCTAATGGATATGGGGTCATGTACCATCCACAATGTTCATAATAGTTTTTTGAAGGGGGTTAGGAGAAGATTGCTGTAATTTAATTATAGCTATATATAATTTTTTTGATGGATGACCTTCAAGGTGCGAGGACTATAATGCGATACAACGAAAAAAGAGTGTTCCAGAACAAAAATTCTTAAAGCATGTTAGTAGCAGATGGCTAACTTTAGGTCCTGCTATTGAAAGGATTTTGGAACAATGGGAGGCTATTAATGAGTACTTTCTTAAGTTTATACCTCTCAAGGCAGACCATCGAATGAAAAGTTCTGGTTACAGTACCATTTGCGGTTTCCTTAAGCAAAAAACTTGTGAAATGCTCTTTTTACTGTCGAGTATAAGTTTATTTACAAAATATACTACTATGTTCCAGAAAGAGGAACCATTCAAATATTAATCCTTTTGAAAAAAATAATTTAATGCCATCACAGAATTTGATTTTTGAAAAAGATTTACAAAAAGAGCTATTAGCAGTTCCAGAAAAGGATAAAATATTATTTTTGCATAATGTGCAGAAACATTATTTGGCCGCCGGATCCTACTTAATTACAGCTGTTGAATAACAATCTTAAATATTTAAGATGTCTTAATCCTAGCAGTAGAAAATATGACTCAACAGTTAAAGATTTAACTAATCTTTTAAATAACCTTCCGCTAGATCTAAAGTTGGATTGTGTAGTTGACGAATGGAAATTGCTACAGTTAGAGGAAGAGCCTCAAGAAGGAAATGTTAGAGTAGAAGAATATTGGAACTACTATTTTGAAAAAGAATCATGCAGGCGAAATAAGATATCCTTCAGTTCAAACTTTATTTAAGGCAGCGTTAAGTATTAACCTTGGAAGCGCCGAAGTTGAAAGATTGTTCTCTTTGTCTAATCAAGTAATCTGTGAGCTAAGAACAAATATGAAAGAAAAAATGCTAAATTCACGGCTCATTATTTGCGACGCATTAAAAATGTATGACAATAAGCCAGCACTTGTGCCCATTAGCAAAAATTTAATAGCAATGGCCGAGTTGCTTACAAAAATTATAATATGAGTTTAGAAGAAGAAGAAAAGAAGAAAATAAAAACAAAATGATGAAAATGCTTTAAAGAAGTTATTGCACGAAGAAAGATTAAAGAGATGATGCAAATAATAAAAGTAAAGATGAGGTGAAATAATTAGAAATCGAACTAAAAAAGAAAAAATGATGCTAAGCTACAAGCCACGGGATCAGATCAACTTATAAATGAAGCCTCAGACAGACTCAAAGGCACATTAAAAAAGGGTGACCTTGCAGAAGCCAAAATTGCTGAAGCATTGATTGAGGGATTTTTAACATCAGAAAAAGAACTAGAGAATAAGGAAAAAGAGGTGATCCAAATTCAAAACCAAATAGGCAAGAGGCAAAAAAGTTTAATAACAAACTTTTTTGCTAAGAGACCGAAAAAGAACAAACTGAATGTTTGATTTTTTTAGGTTTAAGTTTTCGTTCAATGTTTTGTACCTGTTTCTGTTCCTAAAAAGTTTCTAATAAATTAATAGTTTAGTAGGCCATACCCTATCCAGGTCAAGTTCAACTTTTTTCTGTTTACTATAGTAGTATTTTCGTTAAAAATTTATTTCGAATAAAGCTGAATTTGACCTAACCGGCCATTTGGTACGGGATTATTACTAAAATAATATATTTGCAATTTGCACTAATATTTGATTAAAAAAAACTTCATATTTTTTTAAAGTTCATATTTCAAAAAAAAATCTTTATATTTTCATATTATTTTCGTCCTGACCTGTTCCGGTCCCTGAGCATACCAAATGATAACTGGATGGTTCTGGTACGATATCAAGATTCACGGTTAGAACAAATCTAGTATCACCTCAATAATTGAATTCTGAAGACAAGTCTTCAAAAGTCAAGTTATCTTTGAAACTATTTCCTCAAAAACTTTCAGGCAAATGCTTTTCAAAGAACAGAATAGGTATTTCCCAGGCCAAGCTTCTCTGATGTGTGTACATGCTAATTGAGAGATGCTGATGGTGTAAATAAAGTAGCTTCTTCTTTAGGATGGCTTTCCTTTTCATAAAAACATTCAAACATTGATGCCAAATGCAACATTTTTTGTTAAAATTGTGCAAAATTTGGTTGGCTGTGAAGTTTTCAGTGGATAGAATACCAAAAAGCCAAAAGGGCATTTAACTGAATTGAATGTAAATGTATCGAACTACAAAACCCATGACACATGACTGAACCAGTCTTCTTATTGTTTACATACAAATGTTGAAAAAATTGATATTTCATGAAAATAAACCTGGAGCAATGCGATTTTCACGCTAATTGATTAGAAAAACCATATTTTTCCCTAAATACAAAGTCATGCTACATCTTCCACAGACACCCTAAATTGACCCCCTTTTAAACAAAATCTTTTAGAATTTATGTCATCATTAGTTTTTCGAAATGGCTGAAGACCACATAGTTTTGTGCATTTTTCGCATGAATAGAACCTAGTCTATCACACTATATCAGTGGTTTTACCCCTGTTTATATACCGAATTTCAAAAATAACCTATTTTCTAGACTATATGACCTAACCATATTACCCCCATCCTCTCACCATGAGAATAGTTATTCGTTCACGATCATTCAGACAATCCTTCGGACGATCCATTTTCCATTAGAAAAACTGAATGCTTTAAACAACAGAGTATCGAGGATGTTTTTAATGTGCATCGCCTGTATTTGTAAGACCCATCTTGTCGCCGCCCAGTTTTCTTAATTGAAAATGGATCGTCCGAGGGATCGTATGACGGACCATGAACGAATGACTATGATGAAAGGATGGGGGTAATATGGTTAGGTCATATAGTTTAATTCACAAAAATAGGTCATTTGATAAAATTTTATGGACTGACGAGTCACGTTTTGAAAGAACAGGGATATTCAATATCCATAATTTACATACTTGGGCTGTTGAAAACCCCCACCAGTCAAGGCCGTCGACATTTCAACACCGTTTTAGTGTGAACATGTGGTCAGGAATATTCAATATGGAATTTATCGGTCCATTTGAACTGCCGTCAAGGTTGGATTCGGTAGCCTACAAAAGCTTCCTTCAAAATAGCCTACCATTATTGCTGGAAGATTAAAGCCTGGAGGCCAGACGGAACATGGTGTTCCAGAATGATGGTGCACCATGCCACAACGCAACGATCGTGCGAAACTACTTAAACGAAAGGTTCCCAGACAGATGGATCGGACGATGGCCTCCACGCTCCCCTGACCTCAACCCCATTGATTTTTTTGTTTGGGGATATTTTAAAGACATAACATTCGCCCAAGAATGTGCAAATGAAAATTCATTGAGGAACAAAATTCAAGAAGCGACACATGTGTTGAAAACAACACACAAGCATTTAGAGATTTAAAACAAAATTTCATACGTAGGTGTACACTGTGCATTTCTGTTAGAGGCAGACATTTTGAAAACCTCTTGTAAATAACATAAATGAATAATAATCTGCTGTTCAGTAAAAATCAAACGTGTTTTTGTAGTTTTTGCAAATTTTTTTCCGAAACTAACAATTTCTATTGAGCAGAGGGTTATCCAATTTTGGGTTCGGTTCTATTTGAGCCACAATTACGGTAGCATGTAGTAAAGCTAGGTTGATGAAATTTTTACGGTAAATAGCTGATACCGTAAGGAAGTTTTTAAGATACTTACGAATAGTAAGAACATGTTTTTTCAATTTTTTATAAACGTTCAAAGTTGTTGCACTTTTTTACTTTTTTGTTATGTTCGAAGATTTTGAAAAAAATTAAAAAGTAGTATTAGTTACATGACTTGAATGATTATATGATAGTTAAGCCTTAGGTCTTAGCTACATAATCGTGAAAAAAGCAGGCATTTATCACAATTATTAACGAAGTTTGGTAAAAATAAACACAGAACTCAAAAATTCTCGAAAAATCCGAAAAAAAAACATAACTCCTAAACTAAACAAAATCGGACCATATATATGGGGGTGATTTGGGTTAGGTTATATTTATGCGTAAAGTGCACGAAACTTTTAGTTCTTTGGCAATTTTGAAAAACTGTAGATGATAACATACCTGTAACTTCCAAAATATTGAGTATTAAAGGAGGTCAATTTAGGGTGTTTCTGAATGATGTAGCACAGCTTTGTATTTAGGGTAAGTAATATGTCTCATAATATATGAGACATAAGGATCATACTACGTAAGAGTCATAATGTGTAAAGGTAATGCATACAAGGAATGGTTACGTCACACAACTGTGGAGCAAACTCATCCAGTCCTATGACCTCCCAAAGAAGCTATGCTGATGGGTGGCTGACTTCCTCTCTCGCCGCAAGATATCAGTCATAATTGATCTC